GCTCCCTCGTTAGTAAAATGACTATAACTCAAAAAGAAAGATCCATAGACACGAATCATTCAAGGCGTCTTCTAGTCTCAATAGGTTCTATCTAATGAGATAAGACTCAATTCAAAACTATTTTATCATCTGTCAAGATTATCTCGTTAGTTGAAGATTGATCAAATACCTTAAAAATTAGACAACATTTTTATTATTGAATTTTATACAGAAAAGTTTCTTACAGTTTATTTTTCTAAGGAATGAAAGTACCTTCACCATTGCTTTTGTATTAATCGAAGTAACTTTATTTTTTAGTTAGTCGATTTCATTGTCCAAAAGGATGGAAACGTGTAGGTGCTTCATGTTATTACCTCTCTAATGTATCATCAACATCTGTTACTGCTAACAATACGTGTAACCTTCATTCTAATTTTTCAAATCTTATTCAAATACAAAGTGTAGGTGAACTATTCTATGTGGCTCACTCTCAAAAGAGATACTTTTTAATAATACTCTCTTGTACTGTGTCAGGTACAGCTAGTTGAAGTTATGGCTACTTAATCATTTTACAGCTATTACATGTTTTCCTACAGCTACTAAATCATATCACAGCTACTGAATGTTCTCTTATAGCTCCTTTATGTTCCTCTATAGCTACTAAATGAAACTGCAGCTATTTAATGTATTCCCATAGCTACTTAATCGACCTACAGCTGCTTCGTGCTCTTCTATAGCTACGCAATGAACCTACAGCTACTAAATGTTTTCCTATAGTTACTTAATCATTTTACAGCTACTGAATGTTCTCCTGTAGCTACTCTGTTGAGCTAAAGCTATGTAGAGCTGCTTGTGGCTGTTTAGACATCCGACAGGTATTCAAAGTTTCGCGTAAGTGTTTCTTCATCCAGCAGGTTCTGAAAGATTCGAGGGCTATCTAAAGGATGGCATAGTTATATTAGTTAATAAAGAGGTGGTAAAGAGAAGATAGCAATCTGGATGCATACTTTGTGCATTGTTTTGATGATACTTTATGGGAAAATTTATTGAAAAAAGTTCAAGTCAAGGGGACATTATAACATTAATGATCTTTACAATGAATCGTAATTATCCGTTTTTTGTGCCCTCCGAAGCTGCTATTGTACTATGTTTATGATTGTGAGCCTTTTCTTGGACAGAACCTATAGTTTTCAGAAATGTTAAAAAATAGCTTGTTTTTATTGTAAGTACTCTGAACACATGATTGAATATAGCTCTAATGATTTTCGCCAGATTTGATTAATTTTTCTACAAAAGGTGTAAGTTTTTGTATTTCGTCTTCTGGAAGATTGATATAATCGTATGCTTTTTAAATTTCGGAAAAATAAAAATCATTGGTTTCAAAAATTGTTTTTTTATTAGTTTTAAACATAAAATGGGAATCAAGATGCTGATTTATGATGTTAAACATGTTTTCATTATATTCAGACAATAGAGATGTACTTTGTAAATTGGGCACTTTGAGTCGAAATTGATTATTTTCTAGATAAACTACTTGTAAATTTGAATGAACTCTCTCTGTGGTCAAAAGTTTAGCTCTCTCGAATTATTCATTTGATGGATATAAATATATATGAACGAAAGACAAAAAAGTGAAATTTTTTTAATGTATTTGGTAATGCAGGTCAATTAGTTAATGATTTGTCCGATCGTGACCGTTTTTTTATGAAAAATATCTCAATGAAGGATTGACCTTCAGTAAAAAGTTCAGGCGAAACGAATGCTCTCTTAAAAATATATAAGTCGCACAAAATATCACAGAAAAATGTCATTTTTTGATGGGGATGATCTCAGAAAAATTTTAATAACTTAAGAACGGAGTGATCTTTCTTAAAACGGATTGCGTAGAAACTCATCAAACACTGGCCTCTACTACATATATAAAAATGACTTAAATTAGTGACCATGACCACCGATTGAGCAGGGTCGATTGTGGGTTATGTGAAGAGGTTCATAGAAAAATTTGTTTTGATATACACGTAGCGTTATTAGTTTTCTAGAAACAGTTATCTTTATAGATGAATTGAATATTAAGACAATGTAGAAAATCTTCTTGCTTTTTTCTATTCGTAAAAAATATTTTTGTTAAAATTTAATATTGATTCAAACTAGGTTTTTTGTTATATATGTGTACGTGAGACTGAAAGGTATTGATAAGAAAATATAATGAAGATAGATGTGAGAAAGTTCTAAATTATTTTCAAATATAATGAAATTCAATTTTGTGTGCAATAGATACATATACATACGTATATATAAGTATATACAGGTGTTCTTGTTCATAATATTATTAGACTTTCATGTATAGATACTTTATGGGATTATGAGAGATATCTTATTTATACGTAACAGCGAGAAAAGAAAGACAGAACAATGTCAAGGCGTGGGTCACATACAAAAAAGTACGCAATCATCGTAGAGTGCGATTAGCTATTCAAATAATCTAGAGTATGAAATTTTTTCAATATGTACGAAACCATTCTCATAGCTATGAAAAGGTAACAATTGTTATGAAATAGTGGAAGAAATATTTTATATTGTTTAAACGGCTATTAGTTTATAAATAGCTAAGGGTTTTTGTATTTAGCTAGGAGTTTTTTAATTAGCGTTGTATGTTGAAATGGCTGCGAAATTTTCAATAGATGCGCAAAGTGTAAATAGCTGCAGTAAATTTAAATACATGTAGGATATTTGAATGGCCATAGGAAACTTCAAGTAGCTAATATTAAGTAGCTGTATGATCATTAAGTAGCTGTAAAATGATTAAGCAGCTGTAGGTCGATTAAGTAGCTATATGAAACCATTAAGTAGCTGTAGGTTGATTAAGTAGCTATTAGCTTTTCCCCAAAAGTATCTCTTTTGAGAAGCTACGGTTTTACTAAAGATATATAAAAAAATTCGAGGCATTTTTTTTCCAATTTGTCCCAATCACGATTATCCCGTCCTGAAAAATTTTCGGGGCAAACGGGGTTTTTCGAGATTCGGAACTGTCGTGCAAGACTATAACAGAAATATAGCGTACTGAACTCGCAAATATTTCACCTAGTCATATCTTTTCAACTTACATGATTGTCTTGCCTTCTTATTAAGACAATCTTCTATTTTCATTCAAATAGTATCATAATATTAATGCATAAATAACTACACAGCCCACGACAGGCAGGCCGACGAAAATGACAGGCCGCGGGAAATGTATAACAGGTACAGACAGGCTGCAAGGGTTTACAGCCTGTCCTGGACTGGTCAGGCCTAGGAAAAATGGACCTATTTGCATCTCTGGTGTTACTCTATTCTACAGTTCCAAACCGCATTAATCATCATTCTTGTATTGAAGTGGCAAATGATTTTTGGTCAAATAAAATTTTTTGTTTAATTTCTCAATTGATGTAAATAGTAATATATTAATTACCGAGTGAGTTTTCTGGATTCGTTGTTTATAATACTTGTAAAAATCATGGAAAGCGAAATGTAAAGCTCTGGTTCAACAAGGAACAGTCGTAAATGAGATTTCGTACGATAACCACTGAAAAAATAATGTTTCCTATGATAATGATACTCTTGAAAATAATCTGATTTTCAAATATCATACAATTTAGTCTAAATTCTGTATCTCTCGTCTAAATGATTGTTATAAAAATTCCTCAGTACTATGTGACTACTGAGATGTTTGGTGAAGCGAATTGTACCACATGTTTTTACTGAGAGAAGAAAGCCTTGTAATAGCAATGAAATTAAGAAATACTAGACACGAAAGTTGAGAAACGCATCCAAGCAAAGTTCGATTTATCATACAATGTTTTCAGAATGCTGATCGACCCGTTCATGATTTAGATCAAAATCACATTCTGTAGCTCATTAGTACTAAGTATCCAACAGATCGGCTCATATGCTTTTCTTTTCTCCTAATGACATTTATACTACTTATTTATTGTAAAAATATGTACACATATAATTATTAGCAAATGACCTTATCAGTAATAATATATCTGTTGTCTCTTAAAATATAATTAAAATAGGTGTTGGTATTAGTGAATTCTAACTGTGTTCTTAGAATTTATTAGCTATCTCCTTTAACAGACAACGTCTTGAAAATCATTGTATATTATTCAACTCGACTTATTAGAGTTTATTATTCTATACGAGTCAATCTATTCAGTCCACTTAAGGTGTATCATTTACACATTTACCTATCTATCAAAGATCGAAAAGACCTAGTTAACAGAATGAACTCACGTCTAACCATCGCGTGCTGTTTATGAAAAAATACTGTTGCTTTGTAAATAGCTCAGATTTATTATTAAATTTACATTCTACGTTCTCTTAAATCGTTAGAAATACTGAAGTGATCATTTCGTAATAATTCTTTCGATATTCTATCGAGGAAAAAATTCCTCAAATTATGAATTGATAGGGCTTAAACTCCCATTGGTATGACTGAACTCCTCCTGACCCTAGCTTGGTCACGCCGCTAGATGAAAATTCATCAAATTTTATGAAATAGCACTCAAGGGTAAGATCAAATATTACTTTATATCTCTTTATAACAATCCTCGAAAGACCTCAAAATCTGAATTGAAGCATAAGTTTTCATAGACTTTCGAACTGTACGGCTTGTTTCAAAATCAAAATTTTGACATATAGATGCTTTATCACTAGTCTGGTGTATCCTTTCCTAGAAAACCATAAATATGTTTATACTGTTTGTAGTTTATCTAAAACATGTTATGAAAGATGAAAATCTTGGATACCTGGTAATGAAATTTTCAACCTCAATAACGTTTTCATATAAAAGTTGATTGAATTCAACATCCAATCTAGGGTACGAAGTAAAGCCCATTGGGTCCAAACACTTTTGGATCGAAATCCGAACCTTGGACTAATTTATTAAATTATTTTTGAGCCGGACTCGAAGCGAGTAGGTCAGGATATGTTCAGATCCGATCTAATGGACTCCAGTACGAAGTATCTTTTACACAGGCTGCTCAGTAGAGACTATCGAGTCCAAGAATTTCTGGACCCGGACCCAGACCCGACTGATTAAAAATTTTTGGGCCCGAACCTGGTGAATTTAATTCTTTTGGACCCGGATCCGGACCCGGTCGATCAAGATTTTCAGACTCGGACCTGATTGATCATTTTTTTGTGGGTCCGAACTTGAATCATACTCTTACTTCTCTTCATAAAATTTTCTAATCTAATTTTGACTATCGCTCCGAAGATACGGTATACTTTTCATTTTTTTTTTTTGTTAGATGATTAGTATACGTAGGGCTCTCAATTCATAGTTACTTTCAACTTAATTCGTGTGTAAATTAAATTATCAGTAATTTATATTTAAAATAAATATAAATATATTGTTTTCATAATTTATATTTATTGCTAAATCTAAATAAATTTTCTTTTATAATTTATATTCAAAAATAAACATAAATGATCATACATTATATATATTTTAAATATAAATAATGATTATTTATATTTATTTTTAAATATAAATTATGAAAAATAAAATACTTATGTTAGTTTTAAATATAAATTACCGATAATTTATATTTATTCTAAATTGACAGGAAAATGACACCCGAAGCATACTTTATATATTCTTTAAACAATCCGATAGGGATCTCATAATAACTAAGTTACAATTAGTTCTTACTCCTATTCAATAGTTTCTAATAAAAGAATAAATGTATGCATTACAAAGGCTTTATACTATTTCTTATATCCGACAACCATTCCATTATCAATAATACTTTGCTTGGTACCGACTCATATATACATGAAAAAATAATATACGATGAATTTTTTCTAAAGAAGAAGAAACTTGTCCACTTAGTAGAAAATTATGACAAGTCAATCACATTTTATAAGCCAAAAAATCTCATATATTTTTTATAAACAAATTAAGCTTTTTTGAATCAAACGATCGAAAATTTAAAGAAATTCGTAAAATTTCATTATATACACCAAAAGTTTTTTGATTCAGTCCCAATGAGCAAAATATTTCAGACCTGAACCCGGACTGGGTCAAATACAATTTTCAGACGCAGACCCGATGGGCTCTACTGCTCAGTATTCATTAAGGCTAATGACAATAACATTCTAAGAAATAAAAAAGAAAAGCGACTAATAAAGTGTTTGATTAGAAGACTATTGTGATCGTTACATAACCTTTTCATTATGGAAATACTTGATGCAATAACTATTCGTGCATATTTTACATCTGATATTAATTTACAAAAATTACCAAAATTTCAGATCAAACTTGTATTTGAAATAATTTCATTTAGTTTGAATCTTTTAGCTGAATTAACTTTTTCATCACTTATTTCCTATCGACCTTTTAATCCTCAAAATGTTTCTCAGATTTTTTTTTTGTAGCCAGTAAACTGACTCCAGAAGCATTTTTCAAATAAAAAATTTATTTATTTTTGTATACCATCATTTATTCTTCAGTTTTCTTTATGGGTATTTTTAACACAAAATTTTCTTACAATGCTAAAAAAGATTGTTTCAATTAAAGAAAATCGAAATCAATTGATCAAAAGATTTATTTATCTTTTACTTTGTTTAATACATCAATAGTACAAATGTTAATAATATTTTTAGTCATTTTATTTTTATGAATATGATAAATTATAGTCCTTTCACATGAGGAAAGTAAGCTCATTGTAAACGGATACGTATAAATACGACACTGTGCACTTTGTCTTCTTGGAAAATAATCAACACTAGAAATAATTTTATTGGTTGTGAAATTTGCGAATGTATGCTCAATTTCTTCATTTGTTGGTAAATAAGGTTTCATGTAAAGGTGCATAATTGATAGAATATTAAATACAAATTTATTTAATCGTGATAAATGATAAATAATATTTTCCTTTAAATTATTTCCATCAATAAATATTTTAAAACTGCTAAGCTCAATATATAAAGTGAGTTCTTCGAGATTTAACATTCGATGTATAAGTGGCACAATTAATTCCCAATAAAAGGACATGTCGGTATCACATGTTAGAGAAAACGATGTTAAACTAGAAAGTTTTTCCTAAAAAAAACAAAACAATATGTGAATATTAAAAAAATTATTTTAAGAAGTTATTCTAAAAATTGAATATTTACTTTAATGTTAATCAACATATCTTATAAATTAACTTACTTTATTATTGATCACAACAAACGGACGACTAATCGAAAGAATATTAACATAGAATGTACGAAGTTGAATGAAACATCCATCAAGTAGATAGAGACAATCGTCAAAACTTCTCAAATTAACATGTAATTCTGTTAGTATTGAAGAGAAAATATTTGGAGGTTTTCCATCGAATGATAAGTAATGGATATATTCAATTGAAGATGAAAAGAAATTTAAATATTGTAAATTGATGAAAATAGTAAAGATATGTGTATATATACTTCTTATTTCATTTTTTATTGATGTTTTATTATTGTTGGTCATTGTAATAACTAATTTTGAAATTTTTTTTTTATAGATATGATTTAAAGTACTTTCATCTAAACATATGTAATAAAAATCACTGAGAAAAATTCTCACAATTGTTATCATTTATTAAATCAGGATATATTTCTTTAGTTTTCATTTAACTCCACATAACATGCAGATTTTCTTTTTATGAAAGATGTTACCATATATTTCACATAGCATTGATAACTAATTCTACTTCTGTATACATATTATCTTCTAGGTTACCATATTATATTTCTGGAAATCTTTCAAAATTCGAAAACATAAAACCTTCCATATGAAACATTTTTAATTAGATGAAGCTTTACTCACTTTGTATCTATATATAAATATATCTTTCTCTTTTTCAATCTACAAATTAATTTCTCTTCTTCTGATTTTGTCCTAAATTCTATTTAATTCGAATGTGAATCAGATTTCTGTTAGATAATATCTATTAAGATTTAGTTTAGTAAACTAAGGACTTAAAAAGAATTAATCGATTTACTTCTCGAATACTTCTAAATTTTGATGGATGGAAGAATCATCGTATTTCTTACCAGCAAATAAACGTCTAAATGTTTCGTCTTCAATATTGTACAAACCAAGTCCATGTAAATTAGAATAATTAGTAATAAGTAGAATACGTTCCATAGATAATGGTTCAACATTAAGCCATTTGATTTTATGATGAATTTCAGGTAAGATTTGTAAACAAAACCGATCAAGTATTGTATTATCTAGTGGATAAATAAGATCATTTGATGAATATCTGAATAATGTCAAACGATTAGTAAAGATTGGATCACGTATAAATTGAGTAAGTTTTACATTAATGCCCATTAAAGAATAGAGTAAATCAACATTATTCAATGTCTTAAAAATTAATATAAGTATTTCGTCGGGCAAATCGATTAATTGAATCAATGTATGTTTCATATTCATATTCAAATATTAATTCTTCTTAATTTGCATATGTTCAGAATATATATATATATGTTGATATCGTTCAATTTGAGCGGCGTCGTCAATGAAATAATGTACATTTTTTTTTATAGTCAAGATCGAAAATGATTCAATGAATGACCTTGTCTTCTTTATTCGCTCGACAATTTTCATAAGACAGACATATATGTAATGTTAGTTTGGGGCGTGGCCGCGCGTTACGGAATTTCATTTTTTCATATTGTGACACCTGTAGCTTCTCAAAAATTAAGGCAAACTTGCTAAAATTTTTATCGTAGATAGAGCTGGCTGAGATCTATTATCAGTAAAAATTTTATCTATTTCTGTCTAGTCATAGTTGAGTTATTCAACAAATATTGACCGTTACGGAATTTCATAAAATGGAAATCTTTTTTAGGGTGATGCAGAAGTTAAGCATTTTACTACGTAACGAAACGACATACAAATAAATGGTCTATATAAAAGTTATTCAGTTTCCCATGAGCTTTCAAAATATCAATTCATTTCCTAGAAAGCATAGCTGTACCAAATCAAATAACTGTAAATACTGTCCGTTACGGAATTTCACTTCGTTACGGAATTTCATTATTTTTTGACTTTCTAAGGGGGATGGTTAGGGACCTTACAGCTTTTAATTATCATGATGAAAACCCATCATTTCTCGTATCCGCGAATAGTACAGAGATAGTTCTATCGCGCGAGAATATCAGCTTCACGTTCAACGCAGAATGACATTAAAATTCTGCCTGTTTTTTGGACAAAAAATGAAATATAATGGGACTCAGAACGGATAGTTTTTTGGTGAAATTCGTCAAAAAATCCGTTTTCAGACACTTATTGGAGGAAAAATACGGTTTATACAATCAATCAACAACGTATCTCAGAAGTTGCCACGTGTTTCATAATTTGTGAGTAGTGAAATTTTGGATTTGGAGAGAGTTTTCTTTATTTTTAGTGCGTATAAACCTTCCTCATGGTAGGGTGACCGATGCGCGGCCATGCCGTTTGTTTACTGTGTACGATATACACCGGAACATAATGAAGATGTTTCTTATGCTAGATTAAAAATTATTTCTTCTTAATTCCAATTGATAGTTGATTAGGTAAACAAAAAGACAACATAAATCTCTGACTATTATCTTCGCTTATTTTTATTTCGATTAGACGATTTGTAAAACCACATAATAAATCAATAAATTGATAAAAAATCAGAATTAATTATTCTTGTGATGCAATATATAGCAGAAGAAATTGAAAATATCAGAATATATAAATCTAAAGTTAATACACTACTTTGTGATACTATAAAAGATATCAAGTCATTTTTTCTTTCAAGTGAAGATTTATCAAAAAAGTTTCGGAAGTTCTAGTGAAACATCTTGTAAGCAAGTTCTTGGATCTTGTGAACAAGATTTTGGTCAAGATATAAGTTACAGAAATGTTAATAGATCTTGAAAATTTAGGAACAAGATAATGTGATTATCCTAGACCAAGATCTGTATAGTTAGATGTTGGGTACAGATGAATCTGATGCAGTTATGACATAATAATGTGAATTCTTTACCTAAGATCTTAAAATCTTGGACAAGATCTTGACTTAATAATATTTGTGGAAATTATTTTGCTATTGCTTGACACTATATTGTGCCAAATTGTTCAAGAAAACATAACCTTCATTTAAGGATTTTCATAAGAGCAATAATTTCGAACGTTTTTTGAATTGACCATTGGCCTCTACCTTGATTCCTTGTGTTCGTAGAAGACATTTGACGTCAGATTCATATTCAACATCAAATATTGCATCAGATAGCATATTTCAGAAATATTTAGAGCCATCTATAATTGGATTTTAGTGATCATTTTGAGGACCATAGGTATTCTAGCCAAGATCTTATAAATCTATACTTAAGATCTAATTACAGATCTTGATACGAGATAATGCGATTATCTTGTATCTAAATTTGTGAAGATCTGTTAACATTTCTATAGCTTATATCTTGGTCAAGATCTTGCTTACAAGATGTTTCACTAGGAACTTCTATCAGTTATTATGGGAAGCACGACTGTTGTGTGTAAGACAATTGTTTATAAGACAATTGTGTGCAGACAGTTGTGTGTAAGACACTTGTGTGCAGATGATTATGTGTAAAATGAATGTGTGTCATGTGTAAATAAATATTTTTGTCCACAATTGAAAGACAGTGAACAAAAAAAAATAAACAAAATAACGGAAGTCAATCAATGTGAACAAATCAATGAACAGTTATAACATGAATGTATAAGCAATCGCTTTTAACTTTTGTATATTACCATTTGTAGGTTTTTCTAGTTAGGATAGGGACAACAAAAAGACCTGAAACTTTCACAATAACCTATTCTCATTGCGGCCTATCTCTATGCAAAGTTTCAAGTTGAAATTCGAAACTCAGTTTTCCTAGTGTTCCTGAGGGGGACCACGGCTTTTTTTCTTAACCCTTTACGGCCGGATGTTGCCAAATGGCAACATTTTGCCAATATCATCTTAGGAGTTATCTTAAAGTGATGAGATATAGTTCCTTAAGCGATTTGATAATTAATTACATGCATTTTAGGGCAAACCTATGCCTTTTCAAGAAAGGAGAAAGCTATTATTGACGAGAGGGATGAATTCTCCCGTCAACACCCGAAACAGCCCCCGAGTTGAAATTATCTGTTTTCCATTTGTGCGAGCACTCGATGCGAGAAGTAACTGGTGGTTAATTTTCCTCTCCAGATCCATTATCTATTATATCAATAAGATGAATCATTCAATTTACTCGAAGAATAGAGTACAAGAATGTTGCCTTTTGGCAACATCCAGCCGCAAGAGTACAAAAAGTTGGGAATATTGATTTATTTTTCCTTGATGGAAGTTCAATAATTTGCTGTTAGTCTTAGGCCAGATTATCAAACAAAAGCATACTTTGTTTATCTGCCCACCTCTTACAGCCTCAATGTGCGATATATTCCCATAATACTCAATAACTTTCCGAGATAGTGCACATTTCACCTATTTTCCCCAGAGAAGCTCACAAATTCAGCGAGATTCTAACAAGATTTACAGTACATCATAGTATTCCTATTCAGACTACTATAAAACATTATTAGTCTTGTTAAAATCTTACTGAATTCATGGGCTTCCCTAGGGAAAATAGGTGAAATTTGCACTATTTCAGAAATTTTTTGAGTATTTTGGCAATATATTGCAGATTGAGGCTGCAAGAGGTAGGCAGATAAACAAAGTATGCTTTTGTTTGACAATCTGGACTAAAACCAACAGCAAATTATTGGACTTCCATCGAGGTAAAATAATTCACTTTTCCCAATTTTTTGTACCCTTGCGGCCGGTTGTTGCCAAAAGGCAACATGTTGGCATTCGGCTCAGTATCAGTTCTTTTAACTACAAGATGGATTTCGGTAACCTCCACATCTAAGAGACAAAGAATATATAGAAGGAGAATTTTTTGCTTGCTATCTTCTGGTAGCCGGCCGTAAAGGGTTAAACATGCAGTAAAAATGCAATATCTCCGTAGTAATAAGCTAGCAGCACGAACTTTTTTCAGAGTATTCATAGATCATTAGAGCCTACATGATGCGCATACACTCGACTCAAAAGCAATGTGACAGTTGGGAATGTTCCCTCGTTAGTATATTTTGTAGATCTAGGTGGGCTATGTTTACCATAAAAAAATTTCATGTCCATGGCCTGTTTCTAAGGAGATCGAACGTTTTTAGTTTTATAGCTAGATATTTTCAGTATATCTCAATTGCGTTGTATACAAATGATCTCCAATTTTGATGAAGTTTTCAGCACTTGTAGAACTTTTAATTCTGAGCATTTCGATAAAAAAAAAAATTTTCAAAACACTTTTGTTTTGATGGAGATACATTCAAAGTACTGTAAGTAATAAAAATCCAAAAACGCTCAAGAAAAATTTTTCTCAGAGTTTTTGGGTTTCGTACTGCCTGCAGTATTTGGAGTGTATCTTCATTAAAATAAAAGCATTTTGAAACAATTTTTTTTATCAAAATGCTCAGAATTAAAAGCTCTACAAACAGTGAAAACTTCATCAAAAACGGAGATCATTTGTGTACAACGCGGCTCAGATACACTGGAAATATCCAGCTATAAATCTAAAAACGTTCGATCTCTTTAGAAACAGGCCATGGGCACAAACCTTTTTTATGGTAAACATAGCTCATTAAGATCTAGAAAGTGTACTAAGTCCCAACTGATAAGTGCTTCAATACCTGGGAATGTTCCCTCGTAAGTGATGAATATTTCCCTAACAGGAGTAAAATCACTAAAATAATCCCCAGTTATTTTAGATTAGGTCGTGTGAAGTTTAAAACATGAACAAAAACGAATAGTTGACTCGCTCTAGTCAATCGGAAATACCAAAAAATAATTGAATATCCAATCGAGGATAAACTGGGCAAATGATTTTCACTATCTCACGACATGATTTGAAGTTAGACACATATAGAGAGAACTTCACTTTCTCTATTGAATGAGACCATAATTCGCTGAATTATATAGTTAAGCTCATTAAGTTTCCTCCGTTATAATATATTCACCTTGAAAAACAAATGAAGTTTGAAGGGTAAAAATTATATCAGGAAAAAAGTAGCGTTTTTCTCGTACAATACATGTGTTCACGACCTATATATTTGCATAGGACTCTATCTATTAGCAATAATAAACTAAGATGAAGACTGTTTTATCAATGCAAAATTTGAAACGATTCAGTTTCATATTTCTTTGCAACTACCGTTGAAGTAAAAATATAGAAGAAAGTATCCGTCAATAGGATATCAAGATTCACGATATACCTATTAGAATATTCACTTAATGGACTCGCGGTACCTATATGCTGCTAATTTATCAATTTTGTGTGAGCGGACCGTAATCTGTCTAATGCGATCCTAATATGAGTGTGAAAGAAGTGTATTATAGATGA